CAATTTTTTAAATTACTATTAACTTGAGCAATTTATTTTGTTAGTTTTACTGTTATTAGATAAGTTTTCTTTAACTTCTGAAAAGTTGTTGAAAAACTGAATTGTTCGAAAACCGAATATTTGTGGCATAAGTGAAATATAATCAATTTATCCATGAAATATTATAAAATGAACAATTGATCGAAGAAACTTTCTTATTTGGTTACGAAAATCGATTTTAGGTAAAATTCTTAGTTCGAAATTCTTTTTGTAACTCTTCCTCCTTCCTTTGCTTTACTCTTCCATTTCTAAAGTAATGTAAAAGTAAAGAAAAATTATCAAAAAATAAACGAAAAATCTGTTTTACGCTTTTATTAGATAAGTTTTCATTAACTTCGTTCATAATCTTCAATTTATAAAGTGTTGCAAAAGTAAAGAAAAATTATCAAAAAAGTAAACGAAAAATCTAAAATAATGTATTTTTTAAATTACTATTAATTTGAGCAATTTATTTTGTTAGTATTTCTGTTATTAGATAAGTTTTCTTTAACTTCTGAAAAGTTGTTGAAAAACTGAATTGTTCGTAAACCGTATATTTTGGCATTAGTGAAATATAATCAATTTATCCATGAAATATTATAAAATGAACAATTGATAAATTATTAAAGAAACTTTCTTATTTGGTTACGAAACCCGATTTTAGGTAAAATTATTAGTTCGAAATTCTTTTTGTAACTTTGTTTAAAAAAATAGTAAATTGAAATTGATAAATTCCAACCAATTCTGCTTATATTCAATGAAATAATTTAATTATACGTTTCGTTTTATGTTTTACTCTTCCATTTCTAAAGTGTTGCAAAAGTAAAGGAAAATTATCAAAAAAATAAACGAAAAATCTAAAATAATCAATTTTTCAAATTACTATTAACTTGAGCATTTTATTTTGTTAGTTTTACTGTTATTAGATAAGTTTCCTTTAACTTCTGAAAAGTTGTTGAAAAACTGAATTGTTCGAAAAGCGAATATTGTGGCATAAGTGAAATATAATCAATTTATCCATGAAATATTATAAAATGAACAATTGATCGAAGAAACTTTCTTATTTGGTTACGAAAATCGATTTTAGGTAAAATTCTTAGTTCGAAATTCTTTTTGTAACTCTTCCTCCTTCCTTTGCTTTACTCTTCCATTTCTAAAGTAATGTAAAAGTAAAGAAAAATTATCAAAAAATAAACGAAAAATCTGTTTTACGCTTTTATTAGATAAGTTTTCATTAACTTCGTTCATAAATATTAAAGAACTTTTCAATCTGTCTTAATTTCTTAATTTTGATTAAGTGAATGAATCTGAGAAGATTTTAGTGTATTGATTCGAAGTTTAGATAATCGCATTAAAACAAAGAGAAAGAGAAGTGAATTTCGGTTGCGTTAATAGGAAAAAAAGAAAGAGAAATATAATTTGCGAATGCAAAATGTGAAAAAAATGAAAGGTAAATGCGAGAGCTGCGATGGTAATTGGTAATAAAAAGGCAGAGAATAAAAAAAAAAAGAGTGCGAATGCGAATGGAAATCAGAAGCGCGGCGGTGAAAATTCAGTTAGAATCGGATAAATATTAAAAAGGACCAAAATTGGCTACCAAACCGAACCGAAGAAGGATGGAAAACGATGATTAGTTTTTTTATTCTTTCTTCAACTTGACGACGGATTTTCTCTTTCCTTCCTTTTAAAAATTTCGTCCTTTTTAATGTCGGAGGGCAAGAAGCTTGCGGTTTATTGAAATTCTACGTCAAGAGATTTTTTTTCATCCACACACACACTTTTGTTGGCTGCGCGAAGGCAAAATGAAATTATCATAAATAAAATATGAAAATGAGTTGTGTGTTGCAGGAATCTCTGTGTGTGTGTGTTGTGTGTTGCGTTGCGTTGGTTTTTATTAAAAAATCGTTCGTTCTTTGCATCGAAGGATGGGAAAAGAGTTTATACGTGAGAGGGATGAAGAGAGAGAGAGATGGGCAGGATGGCGGGAGAAATTTGAATAAAGCCGGAGCCCAATTTCCATCTCAAAGTATTGCACAGGAATATTTATATAAAAAAAAAAAAACAGGAGAGAAGAGAAAGCGAAAAAAACATAAAATTTAGAGAAAGAAATTTGAGTCAAAGTTTCGTTCATTAAGCCTTTTACGTTTCAATTAATATTTGCATGAAGGAATTCATTCAACATGAATCTCTCCCTCTTCCATACTGAGTAGTTAAGTTATAGAGCGTTGGCTTAGGTAGTTTGTGTGCAGGAGGAGGATGAATTTACACGGGATTAGGATTAGTCTCAATCTCTATATCTCTTTCCTCCTTGTAGCATGCAGTCTCGCTGCAATCACACAACATCCAAAACATCCCATTGTCCTTCCTGTTTACCACCTGATAATTGATTTAGTTATTTGCAGAGAACCGGAATTTAGCATAAACACTTCCGCTCCACGTTTAATCCCAATCTAATCCAGCTCTAATCCTGCTCGCACAACAAACACAACCAATCGATGTGGAAACGAAGAACAAACCTGTATATTTCCAGCAGGATTTGAAAAAAAAAGGATAATACAACTTCATCACATCATTTATTTACTTAAAGATCAATTCAATTTTTCGAGCATATTCCGCACCAACTCGAAGATTTTCCTATGCTCCTTCTCCAACACCTCGAATCCTTCACCACCAACTTCATTTTCTTCATCGTTAATCAACAATTCATCATCTACACTCGATTCCTCAACATCCACTTGATTTCTTGTATCCAAAATTACGTTAGTCTTATCATCTAAATCAACTTTTCCAGCCAAAAACCAAACATTTCCAAAATTATTAACAACAATTTCATCATCATCATCACTTTTCTCATCAACTTTCAATTTCTCATCTAAACCCAACAAATCGTTTACCAAAACACCATCATCTGATTCACTTTCAACTTTGATCATAATCCCATCATCTTTCATGAAATTCTTCACAACTTCATCGAAAACTTCCAACACGTTTTTCGATAATTTCAATTCGTTCGTTTCATTTGCATCGTTTCCTTTAATCCTCTTATCCAAAATCACCAAATCGTAATCAACATCTTCATTCTCATCGTTTTCCAAACCAGAACCTTCGCTTCTCTTCATCATACCATTAACAGATTCCTCATCAATAGCTGCGGGATAAGGAAAATCGCAGTTATTACCTGATTCTTCAAAATGTTTGTCTTTTTCTACATCTGTTTTACTGCTCAGTTGATTCACTTTTACGTTATCTTGAATTTGTTGCGGCGGAAAGATTCCACCGAAATTTTGAGTTAAAAATTTGATCGAATCTTCAAACTCACGTAATAATTTATCATCTTTTTCCACAGATTTTTCATTCAATTTTTCACCAATTTCCGTTGTTTTATCATCTGTTCCAAGACTCAACGAATCCACAGTTTTTTCAGAATTATCATCAGTCGAAGTTTTTTGAGAATTATTTTCAATGCTTTCCGTTGCTTCATCCAAAGTTTTTTCAGAGATATTATCACTTATTTGAGTTGTATTTTCAGCTTTATTGTCAATTCTTTCAGTTGTCCCATCCAGTTTTTCAGTTGCATTAAACACTCTAGTTTTCGTGGAATTCAGCAAAGTTGATACAAACTCTTTCATCTCGTTAATATTCATTGTACCATTACTTTTTGGTAAAATTCTCATCAGTAAAGTAGAGACAAACGGAGCTTCCGATTCGTCAATCAACGCGGGTTTTTCTAACGCGTTAGCCGTAGTCATAATTTGACGTAAAATTGAGACAAAAGGCGCATCTCCTTCTTCAGTTCCATTGATTAATTTCGCTTGTCTTTCGATTCGTTGCAAACGCATTTCTGGTGTTTTACTATCAAGATTTTCATCATTTATTGTTGGTTTCGAAATTGGTAGCAACAAGGCTAAAAACGACATAAAAATTGTAGACTGAAACAAATAAAAGTATTTAGTTTATTGTTTGTTGAATATATTTGAATAATATCTACCGGTTTTTCTGTGACCTCAATTGTTGTTGTTATTTCGTTCGCGTTCGGTGATTCAGGTTCTGCTTCAAGAATCGGTTTTGCTGATGCATAATTTATCAAAATTAAGGCGAAAATCGTAAAAAATATCTGAAAAAAATTATCAAATTAAATATAAAATATTGATAAAAGTTAAGAAATTTATAAATAAATAAAATTGAAATTGAATTTCAATGAATTAATAAATTTGTGTTAATTTTTTAACAAAGATTGTTGTTATAAAGACTAATTAAATTTTGATGATTATTGTTTTGTATTGCTTGGACACTCACCGTTCTGTTCATTTCGCTGTTGGAAAAGCAAGTGAGAGGCGGATTTGAAAGATGAGAATGTGCGACGAACATTACAAAACGATTAAAAAGAAGTAGTAGTAAAACGCGTTTGGGAATTCCACAGGTAAATAAAATTTCATACCTGCGTATAAAATTTGCTGTCCTTCTCTCTCTCTTTCGCCTGTCACAATTCTTTGTCTTTGTCTTTGCGTTCGTCTCTCTGGGGGATTCCCCGAAACGGGTTACCACCGCACAGGCTTAAAGTTAAAGTCTTGAGGTGAGACAGAAAGAGCTTTAAATGTATTAAATGTGTCCCAAGCATTGATTCCAATTGAGGCGTCTGCGGATTTTCGTTAAGATCTTTTCATTCTTTCATTCCAGTTTTTTTTCAACTCAGAACTTCTTCAGGTATTAATAACAATAAAAAAAGGAGGAGACCGACCATTTGAATATAAGCGGACGAGACGTTATTAAAACGTGAGGGTTTTTCGCAATTTCCGCGTCGCGCAAAGAAATGCCATTACTTTTTCTGCGGGCTCGGATTATTTTCACCTGAGCGTTTCTTAAGCATTATTAATAAAAAAAAAATATTAATAATAAAAGAAGGAAATAAGGGACACGTTTCGCGCAATCTACACGTTTATTAAAATTTAATTTGTCGAGAATCACCGAAATTCTTGACACGCCATCTATCGACAATTTTATGAAATACAAATTTAATTAATTTACGTTTACTTAATCAGCGAAAAAAAGTGGTGTAGACAATTGTTACAATAGTTTCGAATTGAAGTATTTGAATGAATAAAAAATTAAATTATTTTTTTTAACGTGGACATGCAAAAGTAACTTGTCAAGTGAAATGTAAGTGCAAATGGAATACTTATTTGTACTTGGATTGTGTATTTGAGATAAACACAAATATACTTGACACATTACTTGGCAAGTAATCAGTTTATAAATTGCACAAGTTTTCTTGTCTCCATATAAAGATTACTTTTTGTAAAGGCAAATTTCAAAGTTAAGCAATGAATTGGTGATAAATTATCCTTAACTTTCTCTTGCTTTTCCGAGTCTAATATAATCTTCTTTCATGAAATTTTTCATAACTTCTCATAAATTTTAATTGCTTCGCTTCATTTACATCATTGACACGTTACTTGTTAAGTGGCACTTAGCGAGTAAGTGTAAATAGAAAGATTATTTGTACTTGTATAAATTAATTGCATATTTAAACACCGAAACTATTTCAACAAGTAAATATACTTGACACATTACTTGGCAAGTAATTAGTTTAGAAATTGCACAACTTTTCTTGTCTCCATATAAAGATTACTTTTAAAAAAAGGCAAATTTCAAAGTTAAGCAATGAATTGGTGATAAATTATCCTTAACTTTCTCTTGCTTTTCAAATTTCATAATAATCTAATCATCTTTCATTATTTTTTTCATAACTTCCCATACCTTTTTCGATAATTTTAACTGTTTACCTTCATTTACATCATTGACACGTTACTTGGTAAGTAGCGCTTAGCGAGTAAGATTATTTGTACTTGTATACATTGATTACGTATTTTGACACTGAAAGTATTTCAACAAGTAAATATACTTGACACTTTACTTGGCAAGTAGACTGTTTAGAAATTGCACAAGTTTTCTCATTTATCAGTTAAAGATATTTTATTTTGTGTCCATGTAAAGATTACTTTTGAAAAATGACAAATTTCAAAGTTAAGCAATTTTTTCTTGATAACTAATCCAATCCACAAATTGATTACGTTATAATCAATTCTCTGGGAAAGAAGTCACACATTTCTTTTTGTTGTCGACCGGTTTTTCTAAATAATTAAAAACGCAAAAATCCTATTGGAAAATTCCCGGCTGATGAACAGTGTTGGAAAGGGAGCGAGCATCGTTATTGTGGCTCCTTCGTGAAAGGAGAACGCCCTAAGGGAGACGTCTGCCAAGGATTTGAAAAGCTCCACAATTCCTTTTCTCTCTCTCTCTCTCTCTTCATAATATACACTGCATGTTTTTCTTCCTCGTTATTTTTTTCCGTGCGAAAATTTCCCTCCTCATTTTTATTTTTGTTTCGCCTTTTTCTCACTCTCTTCAGTAAAAATATCTTTCGGAATTAAATTATTCATTTCCATTGGAATTGCCACAGGTTGCGGTAGGAAAATTTACCGTCGCGCGAGAAGAAAAGATACGAAGTAAAAATGACGAAAAAAAGAATAGAATTCCATACACTTGCACAAAAGGATTTTTTTTCCATACCGCCGATGATCGATAACCTCCCACGACATTCACGTTCATGAGAATCTTTTATGTCTGTAAATTGCATTGTTCAAATTATTAATTTGTTCGTAAAAAAAAATTTTTCTTAGTTCATTTACGGTATTTTATGTAACCAAGTTTTGAGGTTAGGTTAATTTAAGGTTATGTTGGAAATTATTAGGTTACGTTAGTTTAACTATCCAAAATTATTTATATGAAATTTTGTTGTATTTAATATTGAAAATTCGTACCAAAAAATTTAGAATTTCATTTTTTTCTTTGATTGATTAAATGTAAATGAATTAGTTCCAAAAATTGTCCACAGATGGCGTATCGAAAATTTCCAGTTATCAAGCGTATAAAAATTAAATTATTCAAATACTTTAATTTTAACAGCGTAATAGCAAAAATTGATTAACAAATTAACACTAATTACATCATTAATTTTGTTAACATCTTGGTTTTCGAACATAATTTTATTAAAAATATTACACAAATTTTTCATTTTCACTACTTTTTTTTATTGTTAATTACCTAAGAAAATATAGTTTTTTTTTTCATTTAATTAAGAATTTTTCATATCATGAAACTTTTATTATCTCTGATATTGTTTCGTTTATATTTTAAGTTGGCAGCATGAGCGAGTTGATGAAATTATAAGAGAATTGATGTTTTTCTCGGGACGTAACACTACATAAACTTCTCTCTCTCTCACTATATAGTATAGATATATATTGTGGTTATGGCAACTGAAGAAGTGAAATATCAGCTTGGCGCTGAACATAAAATCGGCAATATTTCTCGCCAGATAAAAAAGTTTAATATATAAATATTGGAATGATCTAAAGCACCGCCGTTCCGCGAATGAAGGAGAAAGAAGAAAAAAAAAAAGGAATCAATCTCAACGGGAAATAAAAATAAAACCGCAGAAGAGGAAGAAGAAAAAACAAAACAGGAGCGAGGAGAAGCCATAATAAAAACAGCAGTTCTCTGAGTTTTCGTTTTTCTCTCTTCACTTTTTTTTTCGCTCTTCTATTTTTTTTTGTTTTTGGTTAGGTGCGAGAGGCGGCGGCGGTGGCGTCGTAGCAAACGGGGGGCGGCAATAAAGGATGAAATATTGATAATAAAATGATAATTTTCTCGCCGTATCGTAAATTGGAAATGAATTGTGGATTTGATGTTTATGTACGTTCTTGCTTTATTTTCCGCATTATATAATGTCGGTGTTTTTGTTTTTGTTCTGTTTCCATCTCGCTTTTTCTCTTGTTTTCGTTCATCTCTTCTCGCTTGGTTTATGCGTTTTTTGTTTGTTTGTTTGTTTGTTTCTTGTTGTTGGTAGAATTGCGAAGAATGATGAGACGTTTTATGAATGCGGCTGCCTTCTGGTCGCTCCTCTTCTGCTGGAGACGTAGATAAGAAATACGAAGTGGTAAAAATTACAGTAAAGTAGATAACAAAAGCGCATTCCGAACATAAAATTTCACTTGAACCTTCGCTCCCTTCACGCGTTTTACGAGCCCCCTCATATACATAATATAGTCTTTACTGCTTCTCCGCCTCCTCCAACCCCAACTTATCCTCATCCGCCGAAGCAAGCAAAACCGCCCTTTTCTTGGCGGATCCCTTAGCCCACTTTATTGCCCTTATTCCGACGTGTTTCTGACTTATATACGACGACCACGACAAATCTGTCAAACCCTTTCCGATGCGCCCCTTCCGCAATCTTATTTACTACTACCACTACTACTACTATCTCCAATCCACTACAATCTACGTCAAAAGCAAACCACTGCAAATAATGGTGCATCCATTCTGCTCTCGTCTCATTCAATTAAGTTCGTACACATGCAACAACACACTATACAAATGCAAACTGTCAGATCGCTGTCAATTATGACATCTACTACCACAATTGCAACCGTCAGATTGCTGTCAATTGTGACATCTACTACCACAATTGCAACCGTCAGATTGCTGTCAATTATGACATCTACTATCACAATTGCAACTGTCAGATTGCTGTCAATGATGACATCTCTAAAGTGACTAATTACTACCAACTTTAAGTTAAAAAAAACATGAACACAAAATTAAATTTCTATGTTGTTATTTAGTTGATATTTGTTTTTTTTGTTTTGTTTATATTATTTAGTATAGTAAAAATGTTGTGACAAAATCCCAAATGTACTGAACTGTTTATTTTTTGTTCGAAATAGATAAATTGTCCGTATTGTACAATGTATCTTATTCAACGTATAATCAATTGGCAATGAATCTGGTTTTCTTCGGTGGTAAAAATCGGGTATTTACGCCTCGTAGGGCAGTTTTCTAGGGCAAATCGAGGGAAGGAGGAACGAGGTCGTTACACCTTCGGGCAAGAAGATATATGGCGGCCAATAAAGATAATTTTTCATCCATTTAGCGGCACACGTCCAAGCGACAGACAACCAACCAACCTCTATATTCCAAAGACAACAACATAAATAATTCAGGTAACATCTCTGTTTCATATTTATATAGAAATAATAAAACATTTCTTTGCTGAAATAAATTTGAAATTGTGTTATCGTTATAATGATTTATACGAGGTTTACTTTATAGATCGTCTATCTATTATAGTTTTCGAGAA